ATGGATGTGTGTGGTGTTTAACATTTATCTCTCCGACACAACTGTGAGCTCCATGAAGGCAAAGCTCACGTTCAGCCGCCTTACTGTGCTATGGCATGTTGCAGGCACTCCATAAATATTCTTGCACAAATAAAGAATATATTTTACCCCACTAGGTGTCCCCAGCATCTAACACAGGACCCGGCACATATTAAAGCACCCAATATTTATGAATGAAGAAATGTTAGTCATAACCACTGTTCCTGCTTTCTTTTCTGTTTGAATATGAGACTTTTTATTGTTTTCAAGGGTTTTTCACACGAACATTCTTTGCAATGCAGAAAAAGTGTTTCTGTAAAGTAATACTACCCTGTTTTTTTGTTTTCGTTTTTGTTTTTAATTTTGAGGCCTTATTTGAATAATAACCAGTAAGGCAGTTAAGTTACCATGTTGTGCTATTTGAAGTAAACAAACAAACAAAAAACTGCTCCCAGGCTGCCAAATTTAATATGGTGACATATGAACCACTTATTTCTGTGTGCTTTCCAAACAGGAATATTATTATAGCAGTGTTCTTTTTTATTATTATTATTATTAAAAAATCTGTTAGTGTTATGTGTACAAAATAATTTCACATGTATATGCAGAAGCCCTTGTGTAGTGAAATCATCAGAACTGAAAGTACTTAGAGAGGACAGATAGGAAAATACCAGTTCTTTGGGGAAGTGGAGAATGTTGAAGAATCTGGCGTTCAGCTCTTAATGCTTTAAAATATTGAAACTGAGTTTGCAATGTAACCTTGTCACATGGCAGTTGACAAGAAATAATTGCTAAACTAAATTACATATAAGTGGAAGGTGTTTGTGTTACCATCTGCTGATACAGTAGCCTACAGTTTAGAAATAAGAAAAATTGTTGCATCCTGCATAAATAGATAAGTGATCATATTGACTGTTTTTAATCTCCTCTAACTACAAGGGACCTTAAAGCCCCAGCATTATAAAGTCTCGGAGCGCAGTTCCAGAGAAGTTAAATAAGTTACCAAGGTCATTGAGCTAGTTAATTGCAGAAGCAGGATTAAAATCTAAGTTTTCTGACGGTCAGTATTATGTTCTTTTATTTTCATTGTAAGGTTTCTGCAAATAAATGTGTTTGGTCCTATCAAGGTAGATAAAGTTTGAATGGATACCTCAGAAAGCTATTTGAGACACTGAAAGGTTTTATTATGGGAAATAAAGATTGATGTCAGTACACAGGCATTGGCACTAGGTCAGATGCTGCCACGCCTTTTATTTTGTGAGATAAATGGGAATAAGAAAATGAGATGGTACAGAAACAGGTTGTCTGACCCCAGTCCTACACCTGGAATAACTTTCCCTTTGTCCCTGGCACTACCAAAGAACCATCAAAGTGACTTGCCCAGAAGATAGATAGCTTGCCTCTTATAGCCAGTCTTTCAGCCAGTTTTTTCTCTGTGCAAATGACATCACAATCTCATACCCCCACCTCTAAGGGTGCTGCCTCCAATTTCCAATTCTGTTAAAAGATTTGAGGAAAAAAGATGAAATATCAATATTTTAGAATTTATTTAAACTATCCCTAAGTAATTCCAGACTATGAAAAACAAATGACTCCCCATTTTTCTTTAATGTCTGTTTCATATCTATCTATATTTCTTTAATCTTTATCTTCAGTATCTATATTTCTTTAATATCTGTCTCTCATATTTTTCTTTAATATCTATCTAAGCAAATGCAACAGGATAGGAAATTGAAGTGGAGCATAACGCTTTGAAGGATAAATGCAAACATCAATTTCTGCAGGGGTTTTATGTGTTCATGTCTGAGAAACTCAAAAGAATCAACTGAAAAACCATTTGGAATAAGTTTTAGAAATGCATGAAAAAGGGCTTCTCACAGTTTTAGTATGCTAATGACCTCCTGTCCCAAGGGAGGGCTCAAATGTGTGGTGTTTCCCAAAATGATCTGACCTGCAGTGGAACACATGTGCAAAACCGTCTCCTGTGATTCTGCCAACATGGGGAGGCTCCGTCTGGCCATTTAAGGACAGATGACCTAGTGGGCATGTTCCCACATGGCATGTACTACATTATCAGCCTATGCCTGTTGATGCCAAAGAAGCTAAAATAAATTCTTGTCAAAATATTTATGGGTTTGATCAAAGCTGTTAGAATATATAAATGTGCATGCACACACAGCTCCCACGTGTTTCTTAGTTTTTAGATTCTTTCTGTCTTCTGATGGTATGAGTGACAATCATAATGTTATATTCAAACAGCTTACGTGTCTAACATAATGTGTTGCTGAGTTAGATAAATAAAACTCTAGTGTTTGGGGTGTTTTTAAAATTTTTTCCTAAACAACACCATACTGTTGCCTTCAATCAGATTGTTAGATCTGTTTTCCTAGCAGCATTTCAGGTTAGCCACAGATCTTTAAGTGTTCTAGTTAATAAATGTAAATTAAAGCTAGATTGAGCCTGTCTCATTTTGTGTAGGACAAGCTCTGTTTCATTCATTACCTGTGGTCTGTTATCTGCTTGCTTCCTCGTGAAGCAGAATGTGCTCCAGCACTTTGGGTCTGTCTCTTGTCATGATTGAAGAAGAATGTTTCCAGGATAACATCTCAGTAAATACCACTGCCCTCTGATATGGCATCTCTGTGACAAATGCCACTCTCTTAGCTTCTAAGGACTTATCACTGGGCTCAGCTTAGCACACATCATTTTTTTTCTATTTCTTCTGCGTCGGGTACTCAGATTCTACAAACCTGCATGCATCCCATCAATACCACATCGTCAGAATGGCCTCTGAGAAATAATGGGTTTTGGCTTGAGATGCTTTTTAACAAACATAACTTTCTACATTCTGACACCCCCTTCAAGGAGAGCAGAATTGAACCAGGATCATTTACAGTTCTCTTGAGTCAAAAAGTTCTGAAGTTTAGGGCACTGTAACAGAAGAAAGAAAATGTTTCCCTGCTAATCTTCTGTTACTAGTTTTCCACTTATTTCTAAAACCCAAATTCTTGGAGCTTGTGAAGAAAAGTGAAAAGTCATTTCCACTGTGCATGAGAAAGAGAAAGAAAAAGGAACATTTGGGAAGGGTAGCTCACCAGCTGCGTGCTGAGGTGGGACTGGTGGTGATTCCCTCTCCTGGGTAAACCCTTCTCCTGGATGGCACCCTTCTCTGGAACTGCTTTGGAAATGGTAACAATAGCAGTGTGTGTGTGTGTGTGTGTACAGTTACAGGAACTCAGTAACATGGTCTCTTTCCTGTTTATCCAAGGATTTCCTGCTGCAGGTATTTACTGTGTTCCGAATATTGATCCGCCCAGAGATGTTTCCGAAGGACTGGACTGTCATGCGCTTGGTGGCTAACAAGTAAGACATTTACACTGGGAATAATGGCAGCTCTTTGCATTGGGAGAGAGGAGAGTGCAGAATGATCTTTTCACTTTGATCTCAAGTTTGAAACCTTCACGTCCTGGGGTTCTTTTTCTCTGCCTCAGAATTAAATTCTCTTACCCATTTCCCCCCCAGTTATTACTATTTGTTTTAAATAGGTGATATATTGACATTGTTCAAAAATCTAACAGTGTAACAGAGTTTGCCTTAAGAAGTCCCACTCCCACCCTCCTACCTTATTTAGCCTCTACTCCCAGCCTGCAGTCACCACTTTTATTAGCTTCTTGCATGTCCTTCCATCGTTTCTTCATGCAGAACCGAGCTAGTAACCAGACAGGTACAGTGTCCTGAACGTTGCTCTTTCACTTAAAAATCCTGGCCATCTTTCCATATCAGTACCTAGAAAGCCCCTCATTCATTTGTGTTTTTTTTTCTTTTTGTAGCTATATGATATTCCATTGATTAAAGGTACCATAGTCTATCTAACCAGCCCTGTTGCTGGACACTTCAGTCATTTCTGATCTTTCTGAATTCATTTTAACTGAGGAGAATACAGTAAGTATGAACCATGTGCCAAGCACTGGGAATAAGATATGACCCCTGAGTTGGACATGTGAAGATTGAAGTTCCTTTTATACATCTAAGTGATATGGCCAGCAGAAGGTTGAAAAGAGTCCTTTGAAGGAAGTTCAGAACTAGTTACACATTTGATGTAAAAGTAAATCTCTGGGGGGTGATAAAATTAGCTTGTATTAAACATAACCAGAAAAAAGCAAAATGATCTGAGGTCAATACTTGAATGAATAGGGGCCAGGAAAGGTGAGTAGGGACAGTCAGAGTGACCTGTTCCTGGAAAGCACGGTGTCATGGACTTACTGCTCTCACACTTCTGGTCTCTGTGATCTCAGGATACAGAATGAAGGTGAAATTTTTTAGGAAAGTGACCTGATCTTTACTTCCACACTTGTAATTTACCCCATTTCATAAGCATTCTTTGTGTCACACCCACATTTACCTGCCTCTCCTTCCTCTTCTCCAATCCCCAACATCCTCATGTTCAGGGTGAAGGTTGGCTTTTCCAGGCATCTATTTATAGGCTGAGAATGCTGTGTACCCTCCCCAGATGCCCAGATATGATGGTGGTAAGAGCCCGAGGAAAACAGGGCTTGATTTTGATTAGATGTGCCTAATATGGCTTCTGCCGCAGTATGCATTTATAGACGTGGAGGTGTTAAAATGATGTGTTAAAAACTTTGTGAAGTAACAAATAGTATAATATGGCATATTATATTTTACATAAGTACAGAAACAGCTTTTCCATTTTGAAGACTAATTGAGACTCCTAAAATAGCTGTCTTTAGAGTTTAGCATATTTAGTTTGATATCTGTGAGTAGAATCAACTCACTCTTCATCTGGATGTCCAGATGCTACAGATTTAAGTGGGAGCTGTTGGTCCTATATCTGGCCCTATTCCCAAAGATCAAACATTCTGGGTACTGGGAAAGGGTCTATGAACTGATCCAGGGAGCCAGGCAGGAAGGGGTCCAGGCCGCTGACATCACCATCACACAGCATCATCATTTGGTCCCTCTGTCTGCCCTGTGTGCAGAGGGGGATATTTTGACTTGAATTTGAATTTTCAATGGCAGAAACTCAAACTGAAACTAAATTTGACATTTTGTTCCTTACATACATAGGCTGCACTTGAGCTCCTGAAAACCATGACAACCGTGTGGCTTTTGATATTAAATGTCATCTCCCTCTGCCCCACCTAAAAATCTCCACTCCATTTATGAAGGCTTCATGGTCACATGAAGCAGATTTGGAAGTCTAGATTCTGTGTTTGAGTAAACACATGATGTTCAAGATTTTCATCTGTAATGTTAGCCACATAGGAACGTGATTTTGTTAGAGATGAGCTCTGTGTAATGCATTTCAGCAGAAGATGGGTCCCAGAGCAAACCCAAGAAAAAGGCCATATGCTTTTGCAAAATGCAGTAATATCATTCCATTGCCCCCCAAGTCAGTGCTGATAGAAATCTGGAACTACTTTTCCAGTGTGGTGGCTGGCAGGGGCAAGTCCAGCCTGATTCATAGACAGGACCCCAGGGCCTGGCGAAACACCTGCCAAATTGGAACAGACCACCTGCTCTTTCCTGCTCCAAGCCCCCTCCTCTCCTCTCCTCATTCAACTGTCATAGCCGTTTCCCACTCAAATTCTGAGAACATATGGGATTTTGCTTGTTATCAATGCAGTGTAATTCAGAAATAAGCCTTCAACTATTGGTGACTTATCTGTAAAAAAAAGAAATACAAACTTCAGTAATATTGGTAGAAAAATCAATTTCTGAAAGATGTTAAAGATATTTTAAATATGTTAAAGAGCATCAACCAGAAAGAAAAAATTCACACTTTGCTAAATTGTATCAAAGCAATTGATATAGGTGCTAGATCTGGGTCTCTGAGGCTGACCACCTTGTCTTCCATGACACTAACTTTCTTAGACAAATGTTTGGTAAGGACCCCTCAAAAAAGCATTTTAACCCAAACTCCCACTTTCTCTACCCACTCGTATACATAATACATGTCAAATTGATAGTAACTGACAGAGAAGTCACCACTGCCTTATGCCTGAATTCAACTGGATGGCTCGTCCCACAAAATGTCTGTCTTTTATGTGTTGGTCCTTTCTTTCTGCGTTTTTAAGTCAGTTAAAAAGTCAGTTAACCTTCATCCATAAACTGTGCTGTCTCAAATCCTGTAGCTTCCCTGCTTTATGTGAAGTCCTGCCACAAGCTGTGCCTAGACACTTGGTGCTTAGTATGGTGATCTTTTGTTTATTTCCACCAGAAAATCTAATATTGTATAATGTAGTAAGTGTGGCCAGGCTAAATTTCATGAGGATGAGAAACATGAATTCTGCCTGCTTACAAAGCTATATTATGCCTGCCCACTTGGTAGATGTTTCTGATGAGGACAACTGCTCAATCTGAGAAAGAAGGAACATAAGGGAGATGAAAATTAAGTACCAAAAATACAGGACGCTTTGAGACAAGCTTCTCTCCACCCCCCTTCCCATACACATTGCAAAATACAGTATAAAAATAAAGTCACAGCTTTGTACATATTTTCATGGAGATAAATCTCATAACAGACTTGCTTACTGAGGAAAGTAAAAACTCCTTGGCCCTGCAGTTGAAATTTCAGGCCCTTATTTTGTTTATTTTGTGTACATGTTGGCTGCAAACATATCATACTTCTTTGTGTTTTTTTTTTCCCACCAAACACTGGATTATTTAGTTGAGTTTTACCTTCATCAGTTTAGCCTTCAAGTGAGATCTATAGCAAATAAGTGGTTGATGGAATTAAAGATTCTTAGGGGAGGTCATCCATTCATTCATTGACCCATCCATTCAACAAATATATTCCGGTGCCTAAGGGAAAATAAATGCCATAAAGATAAAGATTGCAGTTCTCTCAGAGAGGGTATGAAAGGAACTTTGTTCTGGACTGGGATAGAAAAGTGTGGTTTTTTCTTCTACTTTTTCTTCTTTTTTTTTAATGAAGAAGTGAAACTAGAGCTGAAAGCTAAAGCAGGAGTTAACAGACAACAAAGGAAGAATATTCTTATCATCAAGAATAGCATATACAAAGGCCCTGTGGTCAGAGTGAATGTGGCACATTTAAAGATCTGAAAGACTGTTTATGTGGCTGAAATATGAAGAGGGGAGGAACCAATAAAAATGAAGTTGGAAGAGGAAGACAGGATCCAAATATTAGGGAACAGAGAGACAAAAAGAAACCAGAAAGGACTAGTTAGGAGCTTAATACAGAAATCCAGGTAAGAAATGATGATGGCTTGAACAGGTAGGTAACAATGAAGGTAGTGAGAAGATTAATTTTGAACACAGAGATAGCAAGACTTCCGATGATTGGATGTGGGTTGGAGAGAAAAAAAAATGAAGATATCTCTTAGAATTTTGGCCTGAACAGAAGGACACATGGTGGTACTATTCACTTAGACGGAAGATTCGGAGAGAGGAGCAGCATTAGGGAAGTTTGAGATGCCGTTAGATACACCAGAGGAGATGTAGGAGAAGAAGCTAGATGGAACTCATATGGATCTCAGAGAAGAGGTCAAGGCTAGAGATACAGATTTGAGGGTCATCAGCACTGGGCAATATATGAAGCCATGGAACTGAATGAAAGTGCCCTGGAAGGAAGTATAAGTTGAAAAAAGAAGAGTCCCTAAGACTGGGCCCTGGAACATGCCAACCTTTCAAAGGTCAGGATGTCAAGAAGCATCCAGCAAAGGAGACTGAAAAGGAGCAGCCTGTGATCTAAGATGAGAACCAGAAGGGTATAATATCGTGTGAAGAAACTATTTCATGAAGGAGGGAGGATCAAGAGCTGCTGGGAGGGTAGAGGATGAGGACTGACAGTCATCCCTGGGATTTGGCAGTGTGGTATCGATACTGGTGACCTTGACAAGTGCTGTTGCAGTGCAGTGGTGATGAAAGTCTTACTAGAGTGAATTCAGGAACAGATGGGAATCGAGAAAGTGAAAGCAGTAATTATAAGCAGCTCTTTAGAAAAGTTTGCTGTAAAAAGGATCAGAGAAATGGGGCTATATCTGGAAGGAGATATGAGGACTACGATTCGTTTTTTTTAAATGGAATGTTATGCATGTTAGTTTCCTGATAGGAGGGGCCAGAAAAAAGAAATATTGATTGTGCCAAAGCAAGTAGGCATCTATGAAGATGCATTGTCCTTGGGTACAGAAGTAGGGATGAGATCAATTGCAGTATTTCTCATTGTGTCTGTCTGAAAACAGCTTTTGTATTCTGTTAACTGTCCATCATCACCTTGCACTGGAAATTAAATCAGTTGCATAAGCATGCAGTCTGGTTCGGCTGACATTGCTTTCTTGTGGTAAGACTTTCTCAATGAAGGAAGCTCACCAGGTCTAGAGAAGCACTGATCTAACGCACACATGGAGCTTAGCCTCAGCTAGGAGAGTTGATTGTGGATCCACAGTAACAGGAAGACAGAGCATGTGATACTGACCATGAAGAGTTGGGTGTTAGAGTAGGTGAGCTGTTGAGCACCCAGGACGCACCTACTATTGCTTATTTATTGATGGTGTTTTTCTATCAGGGTAATTATCTTTAAATGTTTTTACTGTCCAAGGAGAGGAAAGATGGTGATTTTTATCAAAACTATATGTTAATAAGATGAATGTGCCAAACTTTCAATAGTTAATAGCAAATATTTATACAAGAATTGCTTGCCCACTGCATCTCCTGGTGAGCTGTGAGGAGCTGGTAGAGAGAGTGAATACACGAGGAAAGGCAATGAATACATTAGGGTTTAAGCCTAGTAGGTCCAAAAACACTGAGACTTTTGCCACGTGAGCAATTTTCTACGGATACTGCCTAGAGGAGGAGGTCAGGGAATTTTTTTAAAAAATCCTTCCATTGCAATCTTTGTTCGTTCTTTTTACCTCACCCCCATTGCCTGCTTCCTTGACTAAAAGCAGAATCACTCCTTTTCTTGCTTCCCTGTTTTAGCTGATACCGTGGCCTCCAGTTGGAGTGCCTTTCTCCATTAGCCTTGGAGAGGGTCTAATATCAGTCTCTTCTTCAAAATATTTTTAAAAAGTATAAAAAATTTTGCAAGCTACACATTTTAGAATTACCTAGTACAGCAAATAATTATCACGAGGCATAGATGTAAATACAGTTTTGAGGCTACAGTCATTCAGCAAACACATACTGGGCTGAGCCCTTGGTGATGCAGTGTTTAACAAAGCCAGATTCCCCATATGTCATTGCTCTCCAGGGTCCAACCCTTGTCTGTCTTCTCTCTGATCTGTCACCTGTCCTTGAAGTGAACGAGCACATCAGAATCACCTGGCTGGACCCCAGTGCCATCTCACTGAGCCATTGGCGCTGGTGAAGCCCTGAAGTCTTCTGATTCCTCACGTCCTTCTCATGCACTGAAATTTGAGAACCACTGGCTTCAATCAGTTTCCTTGATGGCTCCCTAGGATCTTCATCTGTCCTAAATGCCTTTGTGGTGATCTGTTCTGCCCATTTTACCTACCAGGTTGTAGGGAAGCTGTACCCCAGATGTAGATCTTCGTTTTTCAGTGCACACACATCAGCCTTGCTGATGCCTAGTTCATTCAAAAGGTGCTTCTCTCAGTCCATGTATAATTCATGGAGATGGGCTTTTGCTTGAGCAGATTATCAGTTTGGAATAGTTTTCAAAAGGATGCTTTACAGGAGATGAAGTCTGTACAGGGGGGTGATAGCATTGCTTGAAAAATACTTTCTAAATGCCAGAATGAAGTGGCAACTGGAAAACTGGAAGAAATAGCTTAGATTTCCTGTGCACCCATTTCTCTTTTATGTATACGTTTTATCCTGCTGAGCCATAGATTATGATTGTCAAAAGTGATCCTTATGCCTGCATTTCTATGGCAGACATCAGTAATTTGACCATTTGTAGTAACAGATTGCAAACCTTTCTTGGCTGTTGAATTGGAGCACTGAGATTTGAAATGTCCTCATATTCGGAAACTCAGTCATGAGTAAAAGAATAAAATCAAAGGAACCACATGGTTTTGGATAAATTAGAACAGGTCTAGAAAGGTCCCTAAACGCTACAGGTATCCACTACAACAAAGGAGCAATAATGTATCTATGCCTTTAGCTGTCTTGGCGACCTGTGTGCCAGGGAACTGTCTTAGTGCTGAGACATAAAAAGCTTTGCGAGCTGCCTCTGTGACTTGGGCTGAATGTTATAAGCATAAATGAAAAGCAATTGAGGTAGAGTCATTTTAAGATCTTTCTCACCCTGGGAAGTCTTATTTTTGGAGGTCTTACCCCTCATTATATCAAACATATTAAATAGGCCCACATGCCACAGGCCAAAGTGAAAAGCAATTTTTACATTTGGCTTTTTAAATTACTAGCCTATGGAGTAAATAATTTAATTCCAGTTGGATGTGATCTCTCCCCATTTTTGTGTCTTTAGGAATTCTTGTGAAATTATAAAAAGTAACCTCTATTTTTTAATATAATAGAAGTAGCATGAATATTAAATTGGACAATTAGTGAAAATGATAATGTTGCAGTCTGCACACATGTAATGAACCACTTTTAGTTTTTACTTTCAATTTCAATTTTTAATTCGGTAACACTTTTTCAGGTCTCATTGTTTTCCAAAGTTCCTGAAAAGGCTCTGTGCCTGATGATTGAGCAGCCTTGGTAAAAGGATGAGGTGTTCCATGTAGATCAAGGTTGTCTGGCCCATTAAAGAACCTTAGTAGTCATCAGCCTAAAATTCTAGAAGCCAGGAGAAAGTGAAGTGGAATTTGTTGGAATGTGTTTCTGACTCTGATCTCTCTAGAACCTTGCTCTTGAAAGGGTGGGTTGTGAATCGACAGAATGAGTATCTCCTGGAGCTTGTTAGTTATGCAGAACCTCAGGCCCCATCCCAGGCCTGCTGAATCACAACCTGCATCTTTTTTAACTAGATCACCATGTACCCATCAAAGTGTGTCTAACTTTTACAAAGTTTGTCTGGAGCATGGTTCTTGGCCCTGGGTGTGCCTAAGAACCGCCTGGGAGCTTTACCAACCCTGATGTCCAGGTTGTACCCCAGCCCAGTTATTAATTCTCAGGGGGTGTGATTCAGACATCTGTGTTTTTAAAGCTCCCAAGTGATTCTAGTGGGACTCACTGGTCCTTCATAAAGCCAGAGAGACTTCATGTTGTTTACCACCAAGCACAGTTCAAGAAGCCATGAATTTTCTTTGTGTGTTTGGGACCCAGCGTATAAATAAATAGAATGACCTTTCTCTCTTGGAAGATTGAGTTTGTTGGCTCCTTTCCAAGACATTGGGGCCAAAGCTCAAATCCCAGGTACATCATGTTTCACTAACATGTTTCTGAACAACAATCCAAGCTATAGTTGTGGGCCAAAAGGTAGTTGTTTTGTTTTCAAAAGGTAGTTTTTTCAATGTAAAACTGAGCTATAGTGGGACTGTGTGTGTTCTCCATTGAATGTCAAAGCAGAATATTTGTTAAGGATGTAAAATTTTCTTCTTCAGGCTTAGAAGTCCAACCATCTTCTACTAGATGTTAAGCAAAGAACCCCATCCTTGCCTAGTAGTATTCCATTTTCTGATCATTGAGCCTTAGTTTCTTAAAGGAAGATTTGAAGTAACTACTTTGGGAATTTGCTCAG